AGCAGAAGAAGCAGCAGCAGCAGAAGCAGCAGCAGCCGCAGCAGAAGCAGCAGCAGCAGCAGCAGCAGAAGCACAAAGCATAACACGGGTTTTGCATGCACACGCGGGTTTGGGTTTTTCGGCCTTCACCGCACCTAAGGCAGCAGCAGCAGCAGCAGCAGCAGCAGTGGCAGGAGGAGCATCCACAGAGGCAGCAGCAGCAGCACCAGAAGCAGCAGCAGCAGCAGCAGCAGCAGCAGCAGCAGCAGCAGCAGCAGGAGGTGATTCGAGGTGTCTATACACCTCAGGGGGCTCACAAAGACATGACATTCATCTGCTGCTTCTTTTATATCTGCCCCCATACTGGAGATATCTCTTCGTGCTGCTGCTGCTGCTGCTTGCTGCAGTGCTGCTGCAGTGCTGCTGCTGCCTTCGTCTGTGTTTGCTGCTAGGCGGGACAGCAGCTGCTGCCGGTTGTTGCTGCTGACCTCCACCTCCTCTCCTAAGCAGCAGCAGCAGCAACAGCAGCAGCAGCAGCAGCAGCAGCAGCAGCAGCACGAACAGCAGCAAAGGGTCTAGGCTTGGCTGGCTGCAACAGCAGCAAGAGGAGCAACTAACTCAGCAGCAGCAGCAGGAGCGGCAGCAGCAGCAACAGAAGTAGCAGCAGCAGAAGCACCAACAACAGAAGCAGCAGCAGCACCACCCGCACAAGCACCAAATCAAGCAGCAGCACCAACAGCAGCGGCAGCAACAGCACCAACCCAAACAACAGCAGCAGCAGCAGCAGCAACACGTGCAGCAGCAGCAGCAGCAGCAGCAGCAGCAGCAGCAGCAGCAGCAGCAGCAGCAGCAGCAGCAGCAGCACAGTTTACCGTTTGCGTGTCTGAATGCAATGACGATGAGTTTGTCTATAATATCGAAGGCATTCGTCTTGAACAAATGTGCTGCCAACGGGCTCGACTTCTGCTGCTGCTGCTGCTGCTGCTGCTGCTGCTGCTGCTGCAGTTCCTGGAGAAACAAACAAAGCAGCAGAAGGAGTAGCTGCTGCAGCAGCTGCTGCTGCAGTTGCTGCTGCTGCAGCTGCTGCTGCTGCGGCTACACGGGGAAACTGCGCTACTGCTGCCCTTGGAGCTGCTGCTGCAGCGGAAACCGCAGCAGCAGCAGCACCACCACCACCACCACCAGCAGCAGCAGCAGCAGTAGCAGCAGCAGCAGCAGCAGCAGTAGCAGCAGCAGCAGCAGCAGCAGCAGCAGCAGCCGTAAATAGGTTCTTACCTCTAATGCCTTCAAGCCCAAGCACAGCAACTCATAGCGCTGCTGCAGCAGTTCTCCTTCTGCTGCTGCTTTCTGCTGCTGCTGCTGCAGCACGGACGCCTGGCAAGCAGCAAGTGCAGCAGCAAACGCCTGAATACAAATCAAAGATAAAAATAAATAAATTATTTTGTCTCCTTGTCTGCTTCTATTTATTTTTTTGTCTCCTTTTTGTTGCTCTGTCTCTCTGTCTCCGTTTCCTTTCCCTCGTTGTCCCTCTCTCTCTCTGTCTCCTGTCTCCACTCCTGCTGCTGCCGCTGCTGCTGCTGCAGCTGCTGCTGCTGCTGCTGCTGCTGCTGTGAGAGCTCACCTGCGCCAGCCGTGGCTGCAGCAAACCCCACACTGCCTCCTTTGCATGCGGGGGGATCGAGTCCCAGGAGGCGATCCCAGCCTCCTCTACGTCCTCGAGCAGCACACCCCCGCGCTCCTGCTGCTGCTGCTGCTGCTGCTGCTGCTGCGAAGCCGACGAGGATTTCTGCTTCCCCCCTGAAGCGCAGCAGCAAGAGACAGAAGCAGCAGGAATTTGAGAGCAGCAGCTGCAGCACAAAAAACGTAACAGCAGCAGCAGCAACTGCAGCAGCAGCAGCAGCAGCAGTGTGACATGCTGCAACAGCAGGAAGAAACTCTGCAGCAGCAGCAGCAGCAGCAGCAAATGCTGCTGCTGCTGCAGCACGTGGTGGAGAGACACCTGAAGCCTTGGAGGCCTTTCCCTTTCTGCCCCGCCGTTTGCTGTCTTCCTCCCAGTCGCTCTCCTGCATAAAACGCATGCAGCAGCAGCAGCAGCAGCAGCAGCAGCAACAGCAGCAGCATGTGCACTCGAGCAGCAAAAGCAGCAGCAGCTACTGCACTCCAGCGGCAGTAGCAACAGCAGCAGAACCAACGCCAGAGCAGCAGCAGCAGAAGCGCTTCAGAAGCAGCAACACAACGACGGCGTGGCAGCAGCAGCAGCAGCAGCTGCTGCTGCTGCTGCTGCTGTTGTTGTTGTTGCTGCTGCAGGAGATGCAGCAGCAGCAGCGAAGTTGTTGCTCACATCAGCTGCTGTGTTGGCTGCCTTTGCTGCGCGTTGCTGCTGCTGCTGCTGCTGCTGCTGCTGTTTTGCTGCTGCGGCTTTGGATGCTGCTGTCCCGTGTGCTGCAGCAGCAGCAGCAGCAGCAGCAGCAGCAGCCTTTGCATGCACCGTGGGGCTAAGCGTCTCCTCTAGGCCCTTTATAAACCCCTCACTAACGAGGAGGCCCCCCCCCAGCACGTGGGCCTGGGGGCCCCCCTTCTTCGTGCTGCTGAAAGGAGACAGCAGCAGCGCAGCAGCAGCAAGCACATCTGCTTCTGTTGCAGCAGCAGGAAGCAGAGGAGACAGCTCCACCCAACTCTCCTCAGCCAGTGTCTCCTAAAGCAAACAATCACCATATATATATATATATATATATATATATATATATATATATATATATATATATATATATATATATA